AGTATCTAGTCGTCTTCGCATAGTTTCTTTCGCTTTCGTTTTCAGTTATGCCACTTCTCTCATTTCGTTTTTTGTTTTCCTGGTCGTAATTTTCTTTTGTCCTCTACTTTAATTTCCACCTCCTTGCTCATTAGTCTGTTTTCTTTATTCCTTTCTCATGCGTTCCTACTTTTCGTAGTCTTCACGCTTACTCTCTTGTGTACCTTCTCACCTCCAGTTCATTTAGGCTATGTCTTTCCAGATCTGTCTATTTCGTTTTCTCCTTTGCTCCTTCCTTACACTGACGACTCCTCCATTTCCATTTAAGTACCGCTTAACCTGATTCTTATTTTATTACATCCTTTACGTTTGCGTTTGCGCCTGTGGTCCTTGTTGCCGTGGCCGCGGACTACAAGAATGTCGTCGTTCAGAGATGTAGAACCGCCGTGGTGAGTTCTTGCTTTTCTCCGTCCGTTTTCCGTTTCTTTCGTTTATGTTTCCTTGCTAGTAAATGTTTCCCCTCCTTTTTTTTCTACATCCATAGTATCGCGTCAATCTTTGTTTCCTTATCCTCGACCTTGTAATCTTGGATTTTCTTTTTTTGCACAATCTTTTCAACTAGAATGGTCTAAAGTAGCGAAATTCTTTGGTGCAACAATTTTTTGTTCGTAGTTGCATCGATTCTTCCTTCCTCTTAGTTTCTGCACCACCTCGTGTTTCTCTCTTTCCCCCTGCATGTGCTCTCTCTCTGCTTTCTCTTTGCTAGTTCCAATTCCTTGCTTCCATCTTTCTCTCGTTCTCTCGTTCTCTCTCGTTCTCTCTCGTTCTCTCTCGTTCTCTCTCGTTCTCTCGTTCTCTCTCGTTCTCTCTCGTTCTCTCTCGTTCTCTCTCGTTCTCTCGTTCTCTCGTTCTCTCGTTCTCTCGTTCTCTCTCTCTCTCTCTCTCTCTCTCTCTCTCTCTCTCTCTCTCTCTCTCTCTCTCTCTCTCTCTCTCTCTCTCTCTCTCTCTCTCTCTCTCTCTCTCTCTCGTTCTCGTTCTCGTTCTCGTTCTCTCGTTCTCTCGTTCTCTCTCTCTCGTTCTCTCTCTCTCGTTCTCTCTCTCTCTCTCTCTCTCTCTCTCTCTCTCTCTCTCTCTCTCTCTCTCTCTCTCTCTCTCTCTCTCTCTCTCTCTCTCTCTCTCTCTCTCTCGAATGGCCCTTTCATTGATTATCATAGGACTTACAGGCATGCAAGGTGGTAGCTTTTGTGAGTCTGGTGCATAAAGCCTCTTACCACTCTTCTACCATTCCCCCCCCCCCCCCCCCCTTCCTAAGCTAGGTCCAGCGCAGGATCAAGGACCGAGAGGCAGTCCCCTAGGGACGGAGCCTCACCCACTGCCTCCAGCAGTGGGTATTCTACTGCAGCCGCTATGCTGCACTTTTCTAAGTATCCAATCGACTGCCCCCTTTGTAGAGCCACCGACCACCGCTGCCGATAGTGGTGTAAGAGCTTGGCAGCTTGGTAGGAGGTTGGCTCGGCGTTAAAGAACCGCCTTGCAGCCGTCTCCGCGAGCAGCTTCAGGAAATCCACTGTCTCAGGGCATGGGCACCCATAAGTCTCGACCGCAAGCGGGAAAAACTTCACCCACTCAGGGCGGTCCCTGTAGAGGCCGTGCTTCTTATCTGCCGCCTCCCGTGCTGCCCACCCCCGCCCCTTAGTTGCATTCTTGTCGCGGGTGCTGATGGGATCCGTCACCGTCACATCACAGATGTAGACGGCGCCATTGGAGCGGCAGCGGAGGGCCAGATCAGCCTTCTTCTCTTCCACTGGGCTGAAAGCGGCCGTTTCAATGTGCACCATGAAGCCTGCGTCGCGCGCCATTCGCGCGCATTCATCTCTTAGCTCATTATGCGTGTTTGTGCGCCCTCCCCCTGTCCCACATCGTAGCAGGTGGTTTGGGAGCCGCTTGTCTGGGATTTGCACCTTCTTCGAGCAATTGTAGACCCCGGGAGCCGCAAAGGGGAGCCCCAGCCGAAACTGGAGCGCATTGGCGTAGTGCGGAGCCTCGAGGTGTAGCGCGCGGTGCAGAGGCACCGCGTTTAACCAATCCCCTGCGCCATACCCCGACAGGGACATCATCCGCTGCGTGTGACCATTGTTCGGGTTCGGGCTCATCCCCCTCACCTCCTCCACTTGGACAGCATAGCGCTGGCCCTGGATAGCCGTGGCCAGCCCGTGCTGCAGCTTCCCTGCGGTTGGGGCTGTTCTCTCTGCTTGCAGGGCTTCCTGAGCTGGCAGTGGGAGCTCCTCCTCGCATTTCGCTAGCCATTCGGTCAAGGGGGAGGCCTGAGTGTAGGGACCGCGCATCACCTCGCGTGTTACTTCCAGTGGGCCGGTGCATTCGTCTTCCAGGGAGTCCAGCAGGAGATGAGCCTGCGTGTAGCTGGCGAGGAAGCTGTAGCTTCCTTCCACGGACGGGTCCGTCAGTCCGAGGCCACCGAGCGATACGCGGAGGGAGGCCTGCGCCCATGTGCGTGATATTTCCTCCTCCCCCCGTGGGTGGTTAATGCCGCATGCCGTGAGCAGGGTATCCAACAGACGCCTCCCCCATTCGGACCACTCCCCTTGGGGCAGGGCCGGAAGGGGAGTCGTGCGGGCCAAGTAAGACACTCGGCGCGAGACGCACCGAGACAGCAGCAGACCCGCCAGCTGAGGCTCCATCCGCTCTATCAATCCCAGCGGCGCACCCATCGCTTCCAGGTTGGATCGTATGAAGGCGGATGTTGCTGTTGGGGTGCCGATGAAACTGCCCAGCACTTTCAACCCATCGCCGCTGAGTGGAACCCCCTCGGGCAGGGTGTAGTCCGCGGGCGACCCATCGGACCAGGCCCCGCACTTGGCGGGGTTGTGTCTGAGGCCGATTTCTGCAAGAAGGCCCGTGAAATGATCAAAAGCAGCCGCACATGACGACGGATCCCCTAAGAAGGTAACGTCATCCGCGTAAGCAAGACAGATGACATCCGGATGTGCCTCCGCCGCCGCCTTCAGAGCCGGTTGCATGGCCGCGGCAAAAAGAAGGGGGCCGAGGGGGTCCCCTTGGCGGACTCCGGTCTCGCTGAGCAAGGGCGCGTGGTTAAAGGCTGCGTCCAGGTGCAGTGCAGACGCCTGGCCGTAAGAGAAAATCACCAAAGGCAAGTAGCGGCTCCAGCTGCGAGCCTTTCAGCGCTGTCGCTATGGCGAGGCGGTCGACGCTGTTGAAAGCGTTAGCTAGATCCGCCTGCAAGACTAGCGCCTCCGGATTGGCCGAGGTGAAGGTTCGAACGATGTGGATCACTGCCTCTGCTCCTCCCGGCACGGCAACCCCAAACTGTAATGGTAAGAAAAATTCTCTGGCCGCTTCTGCTAGCTGAGTAAGTGCTGCTTTGGCTGCCAGTCGTAGGATGCATTCACCTATTGCTATTGGCCTGGTCCCTCCGTCTGGCTTGTCAAGGGCTATCAACCTTGATGCGGTAAGAAGCCCCCCAACCTCCTTGCGCAGCTTCCCGCGAAGGATCGTGTTGACAAGCGCATGTAAGTGTGAACTGACCGCAGAATGCATCAGTGCAGCTTCGCGCAGGTGTTCGAATGTCGTGCCTGAAGGGCCTGCGCCGACCCCGTTCTCACACTTTGTGAGAAGTTTCAAGAATGCTTCTCGCGACACTGCCAGGTAAGTGTCCGGCTCAGGCTGGGGCCACGGTGCGTCAGGATGCCTTCCACGCGGGTGCTTGGCGCGTAGAGATTCCAGAACTTCTGGGGTCGGCTTGCTGACTGGAGTGGCTTCAAGTGCCATGACAGCCCTTCGCAGGCTGCCACGACGCGCCAGACCTTCTGCCCTGGAGATAGCTCCCAGGTCATCTGGTTGGTGTCTGGGGGGTGGGGGCAGCTCCAGCGAATCCACTGTTTCCTGGTAAAGTGAATCCCACTCCCCTCGCAGGAATTTACGCAATCTGCTTCTGGTTCGCCTTCCAATCAGGGTGCTTCGGCGACTGCTGACGCAATGTCAGGCGAGCGGCAAACAGCAAAACCGTCCAGGCTTGGGTGGAATCAGGGTCGTCGGCGAGTCTCAGCAGTGGTGTCAGTAAGACCATTGCGAAAAGCAGGCGCAGTTTTTCCGGGAGGCGACGTGCCAGAGGTGCGTTGCGACTGTCGCGTAGCATGTCCAGATTCCAGTCACTAACGCTCGCGAAAAGTGTGTCATCCTTGGCGAGGGTCTCTGGCGATTTTTGGGGGAGGGGTTGAGACTGCTGTTGGTTACCCCTCGCTGCAGTTCGCGGTGCAATTACAGGTGTTGGTGGCGGGATTTGTTGGGCGGGCTGGTTTGGCAGTGGTGTCAGGGTTGTTGGGAGCAGTTTGAATTGGTGGGGATGGTCGCGGTTGGGTGGGCGCGTGATTGAAATTTGTTGCCGCGCTTCGGGCGTGGGTTGAGTTGCCTCTCTGCCGTGCTGGGGTCTGTGACTGGGCCTCTTCCGAGGCATTCGAAGATGAGTCTGATTCCTCCTCCTCCGCCTCATAAATACTCCCCGACAAAGCATCTGCTTCATTAGCTCTTCCCAACTCAGTTAAAGCCCTTCGCGCCGCCGCCTGGAACGCGTTCTCCGGTCCGCCCTCCTCGCGTACTCCGTCCATGCCCGCGACCTCCGGCACGACCTCCGCGCATCCGCGCATTGGCCGCGGCCAGCTGTGGACTCCCTCGACTCGCTTCTCCCGCGCTCTGGCGCGACCTTGCGTCCTCGATCGCCTGCTGCCGACGCGTTCGCCGTAATGGCGACTGAAGCGGAGAGGTCAGCGGTGGACCAAGGTCACACCGCTGAGAGTGCGATTGCTCCGCCTCCGGCCCCTGCTTGCCGCTGTTGCTGTTGCTGCTGCTCCCCTGCTCCCCCCGGCTCCCCCTGCTGTTGTTGCGACGTCCGCGGTTCCGCACCCGCTGTCTCCGGCTCCCCCCGCCAAGCCTTCCGCACGCTGTTCCCGTGTCCGGCGCGCCGGTTCCCGTTGCGCAGCCGTCGCATGTGGCGCAGCCGCCCCGCCCAAGCTGTCGCTGGGGGCCCTGCGCAGGGGACAGCGGTGGGCGCCGGCCCCGATTCTGCCCACTTGGTTGCCCCTTCTGCTGCGCCGGTGAATCCCGTCGCGCAGCGGCTCGCGGAAGTCCCAGATACGCGCTGCCGTGGGTGGCAATGCGGCAGCGCATCGGGGGCGAGGTTCTCCTCGGCGTCGTCCCTCCTCGTCATATCGTTCGGCGCACCGCGGAGGTCGCGGTGGCTGGTGGGGAGGTCACGGTCGCGGGCGCGGTGGGCCGAGCGAGGTGCAGCAGCTGCGCGAGGATTTCCCGGGGATGCTGGCTGCGGCGATGCGCAACGCTCTGAATGGCGCACCGAATCTTGGTAGCTCCCCGGCTCCCGCCGCTCCTGTGCCCGCGCCTGCCCCTGTGAATGCGCAGGTTCCGGCCGCGCCCCTTGCTGCACCTGCTCCGCACGCATCTGCGTACCCGCGGGCTCCTGCTCCTGGCAGTGACCGTGCTCCGCCTGCCTACGTTCGTCCTGTGTCTGCCTCGCAGTATCCGCCCCTGCCCTGGATTCCCCCTCTTCCGGACACGGGATTTGTGGGAGCGGGAGGCGGAGGGGCGAGGGGAGCCGTCGTTCCTCCGCGTCGTTTTGCTGAAGCTCCGTCCGTGCAGCCTCCGCCCCCTCTTCCCGTTCCGCCTGCCGCGTTGAGGACCGGAGTGGCTCAAGTTCCCACGGCGACCCTCGCGCAGCTGTGGCGCTTGGTGGAGTGCCAGCAGGCCCTGACACTGATTCTGGTGAATGCGCACTTCGCCATTCTCCAGAGCCCAGGGAGCACTCTCGGTCGTGAGGCGCGAGGAGATTGCTTGGCGGCGGCTGCGCAACTTGCCTTCCTCCTCCTACCCTTGCTGGGAGCGCCCGCGATGGGAGGCGTTGCGGTTTCAGAGCTGGACGGAGCGGTCCAGGGTCTGACCGCACACCTCCGGGCTGGTGGCGGGATTGAAGCCGTAGGCGCGACCGCGTTAGTGGTCCAGCAGCTGTGGAGGACCATGCGTGGTATCCTCGCGGCGCTGGAGGCCCATCTGATGTAGTTTCCGGCGCCCTCCGCGCGTAGACCCTTTGCATCTCGTGGTCTAGGAGTTGGGCGCGTGGCCCATCGCTGTCTTGTGTTGATTGCTTATTGTTTGTCTTGCTGCTGGACCTTGCCACCCCTAAGCACGCGGCCGAAGGCCGCGCAACGCGAGCGCTGGCGGCCGCAGGCCGCCGGCGCGAGCGCCTACGAAAAACTGGAAAACAGAATGAACTAAAGAGGAGAGAGACCCATACGGGACCCTTATATAGCTTGGAGGCAAGGGACAGAGGCAAGGGACAGAGGCTAAGTCCACTCTCTCTCTCTCTCTCTCGCTCTCTCCGCCTACGAAAAACTGGAAAACAGAATGAACTAAAGAGGAGAGAGACCCATACGGGACCCTATATAGCTTGGAGGCAAGGGACAGAGGCAAGGGACAGAGGCTAAGTCCACTCTCTCTCTCTCTCTCTCTCTCTCTCTCTCTCTCTCTCTCTCTCTCTCTCTCTCTCTCTCTCTCTCTCTCTCTCTCTCTCGTTCTCTCTCGTTCTCGTTCTTGTTCTCTCGTTCTCTCTCTCTCGTTCTCTCGTTCTCGTTCTCTCTCTCTCTCGTTCTCTCTCGTTCTCGTTCTTGTTCTCTCGTTCTCTCTCTCTCGTCTCTCTTTCTCGTTCTCTCTTTTCTGCTCTGTCTCTCTCGTTCTCTCGTTGTCGTTCTCTCGTCTCTCTCGTTTTCTCTCTCTCGTTCTCTCTCTCTCGTTCTCTCTCTCTGTCGTTCTCTCTCTCTCGTTCTATCTCTCGTTCTCTCGTTCTCTCTCTCGTTCTATCTCTCGTTCTCTCTCTCTCTCTCGTTCTCTCTCGTTCTCGTTCTTGTTCTCTCGTTCTCTCTCTCTCGTCTCTCTTTCTCGTTCTCTCTCTTTTCTGCTCTGTCTCTCTCGTTCTCTCGTTGTCGTTCTCTCGTCTCTCTCGTTTTCTCACTCTCTCGTTCTCTCTCTCTCGTTCTCTCTCTCTCGTCCTCTCTCTCTGTCGTTCTCTCTCTCTCGTTCTATCTCTCGTTCTCTCGTTCTCTCTCTCGTTCTATCTCTCGTTCTCTCTCTCTCTCTCTCTCGTTCCATCTCTCTCGTTCTCTCGTTCTCGTTCGTTCTCTCTCATTCGTCCCCTCTCTCTCGTCCTCTCTCTCTTGTCCTCTCTCCCTTGTTTGAATCCATTCTTCTCTACTTCTTCCTTTCGGTTGATTTTCTTTCACCGTATTCGCTCTTTATCCCTTCTACTCGTTCCTTTCTGTTAGAATCACTAGTAGCTAGGTGAGGAATGATGATTAGGTGAGGGAGAGGGGGTTCAAGAGTGTCGAGAGAGTTGGGTTGTACCCTCTAAGGTGTGACCCTACACAACCTAGAGTAAGAACATAACAATATGTTTTGACACACCCCCATAGGTGAAGTAGGGGATAGCCAAACCTAACAGTGGTCACAAGACCGGTCAAGCAACAGAACAAGCAAGGCAAAGCCCAGGGTGGATCTCAAGGACACCACACAATCTGAGCACAAGCAGGCGGCCACAAGGCCAGTTCACATGCAGATTTATAATAGCAGTGTATAACAAGAGCAAGTCAAGCAACCAGCAGGTGAGGCAGAGTGGGCACAAGCCCAAGAGCAGTGCAGAAACGCTAATGATCACCAGCCCCAAGGGCCTTGGTGAAGACATCAGCAGTGTTGGCCCGAGAGGCCACGAAAGCAAGGCGCAGCTGACCACGCTGCTGCAGCTCACGCGCAAGGAAGTAGCGCAGAGCAATGTGCTTCGTTCTGTGCTCCAGTCTCTGCTCACGACACAAGGCAAGCATTGCCTTGTTGTCGACGTACAGAACTGGAGGAAAACGAGGCCGCTCCCCCAAGTCGGTCAGCAGGTAGGTCAGCCAGCGGAGCTCCTGTGCAGCCATGGCCCCAGCGTAGATCTCGGCCTCACAACTGGAACCAAGCACAGAACAAGAACGAGTGGACCTCCACGAGACAGAAACCAGCGCCAAGACTGAAGGTGTAGCCCTGTGACGAACGCTGAGTCGCCTGGTCGTCGGCCCAAGAGGCGTCAGAGTGTCCTGTGAGGACCACCGAACCCCGTCCTCCAAGCACGAGCCCCATGCCCGATGTGCTGCACAAGTAACGCAGTACCCTCTTCGCAGCATCAAAGTGCACCTTTCGGTGCCTACCGGGTGCCACGTAGCGAGCCAGAAGGCTGAGAGGGTACGCGAGGTCAGGTCGTGTGCACGTCATCAGGTACATGAGGCAGCCCACAAGCTCTGGGTACGGACCACTCGGCTCTACGGACTCGTCCGAAGGTGGAGCTGAGAGCGAGTGGCCGGTAGCCAGAGGAGTGGGCTGTGGCGAGGAGTACATGAAGCGGAAGCGCTGTAGGATCTGGTGCACCATGTGTGACTGAGTCAGGGGTGATGGTGCGCCGTGGTCTGTCCCGGGTGATCTGCAAGCCAAGATAGCTCCGCAGCTCACCCAGGTCAGTGCAGGTGTGTCTCTCCTGCAGCTCCGCCTTCACTAGGGCCAGTGCCTCAGTGTCAGCAGTAGCAAAAACCAAGTCGTCGACGTACACGAGGATGTAGAACGGCGGCAGAGTAGTGTCGGTGCGTAGAAACAGCGACGGGTCAGCAGTCGAAGGAGCAAACCCAAGAGCCGCAAGTGTCGTCCTCAGTGTGTCGTGCCACTCGCGGGGCGCCTGACGCAAGCCGTACACTGGTCGCCGTAGGCTCCACTGGGTACCCTCAGGAAACGACCCAGTGAAGCCCTGTGGACGGCGCAACCAGATGGCCTCGTGAAGGCTACTCTGCAAGAAAGCTGTCGAGAAGTCGAGGGACTGCAGCTCGTAGTCACGCTGAGCTGCAACGTGTAGCAACACCCGAAGAGTGGTCATCTTCGGGGTGGGAGAGAAGGTCTGAAAGAAGTCGACCCCCTCACGCTGACTGAAGCCTCGAGCAACGTAACGTGCCTTGAAGGCAGGCGGAGAACCCGGCGGCCGCTTCACCCTGAAAATCCACATGCCACTGACGATGTTCGCCCCAGGTGGGGGAACCTCGTCGACGTAGGTGCCTGTGGACTTCCAGGAAGCCATCTCTGCGTCCATGGCTGTCTGCCACTGAGAGGAGTACTCACCCGAAATCGCCTCCCTGTAGGAGCGCGGGTGGGGATGTCAAGTGCATCCGGGTCCTCCCTCAGGGGCAAGCAGCATGGTCGCGTGATGGGGTGAAGCGGCAGCAAGGCACTCCAGCTCCTCCTGTCTGTCCTCAAGAACGTCACAGCCAAGGGCAGTGCAGCCAAGAGCAGTCTCACCCCCGACGGACGGAGGACAGGCAAGGGACAGGGTCAGAGAGAAGACTCGCAAGGTAGTCGAGGCGGTACACAGCAGCAAAGTCAACGAGCTCAGCTACTAGGGCAGACGCAGCAGGAGACGAGAACGTAGGGTCCGTCACAAACCGTAGCAAGAAGGCGAGTAACAGTCGGACTGGACTCACGAGCAAGGTCAGACGGAGGGTCAGCAACGTCAGGCAAAGAGGACGCTGGAGGTAACGGTAGGACAACACGCTGAGGAACAGAGGAAGGACGGAGTTGTCATATCGTGAGTGCCGGGGACAGCCGGAGCACGCTGACGACGAACACGAGGAACACGAGCACGGACAGCAGCTCTAGGCTCAGGCTCAAGGTCAAAGCTAGACTCAGGCTCTCGACGCTCAGGGGTGGAAGCACGAGTTTCAGGCTCTCGACGCTCAGTCAGGGACTCTGACACCGCAGTGTAAGGAGCAGGAGCAGGCAGTGGGGAGTGTGGTAGCAGCGGCGGCTGTGACTGGTCCGCCGGTGGACACAGCAACGGAGGAGTAGTGCCTGCCACAGGGAAGCCAGTAGCACCTGGCTGAAGACTGAGAAGGTGGCGAAGAGCACCAGTAGCTCCACCAGGACCTCCAGCACCTCCAGGACCTCCAGTCCCAGCAGCTCCAGCTCCTCCAGCACCAGCAGCTCCAGGAGCTCCACGACCTCCAGCACCAGCAGTACCTCCAGTACCTCCAGCACCAGCAGCTCCACGACCTCCAGCACCAGCAGCACCTCCAAGTACCTCCAGCACCAGCAGCTCCACCAGGACCAGCAGCACCTGCAGCTCCCCGACCTCCAGCACCAGCAGCACCTCCAGTACCTCCAGCACCTCCAGGACCTCCAGCACCAGCAGCACCTCCAGGACCTCCAGCACCAGCAGTACCTCCAGTACCTCCCGCACCAGTAGCTCCAGGTCCTCCGGTGGGAGCTCCGACGACACCAACACCAGAAGGACTCGCAGCACCCCCAGAGTCAGCACCCGAACTCGTAGTACCCCCAGAGGCAGGACCCTCGGTCTCAGCACTCGCAGGCTCAGTACCCTCAGTCGCAGCACCCTCAGGTCCAGTACCCTCAGTCCCAACACCCCCAGGCTCAGTACCCTCAGTCCCAGCACCTCCTGGCTCAGTACCCTCAAGTCTCTGCTCCAGTGTCCACAGCAGCAGGCTGCAGAGGCGGCGAAGACGGCAGAGGTGGGAACCCGGGGGGTGTAGCCAGACAAGGAGAGCGGGCACCCCCGGACTCACCACCCCCCAGCCCCAGCTCCAGTAGTCTCAGCTCCAGAGTCCACAGCAGCAGGCTGCGGAGGCGGCGAAGACGGCCGTGGCGGGAAACCCGGGGGGGTCTCCAAGCGAGGAGTGCGGCGAGTGGTCGCCGTGTCGTCGGCGACGGCGTCACCCCCCTCAGGTGAGTCAGAGGAGTCAGAAGAGATCTCAACTGGCTCATCCAAGGGGGGTGGGTCTACCTGGGACACACCTGAGGGAGCACGACCCTGTGGGGGAAGGGGGTCTACCGGCGGGGGGACTGGTACCAGGAAGAGAGGCGCGAGAGGGGACCGGGTGGGACGCGTGCGGGTGAAGTCGGTAGTAACAGACCGACTCGTCGAAGGTGACGTCCTGAGAGGACAGAACACGACGCGAGGCAGGGTGGTAGAACTGCCAGGG